TGTAAATAGTGAAAAGTAGGTGTTATATTGTATATGTACAGTGGCATTAAGTGCCGTAATGTGCACCTCTGACTACCCCTGCGGGGATAAAAGGCGTGATGTTATTTTTATTGATGTTATATATAACTGATTACACAATTTGTTAAATATTTCAATTTAACAGTAGGAGACGAAAAATATATATGAGAACTACAAACAACTATTCCAAAAGCCGCGTTATAATCTTCGAAAGTTTCTCAACCACATAGAAACGGTTAAAGCATTTTATGAATGTTATCTTTGTGGTAAATTGCAATGCAATAAATACCCACAAAACCACTAACCATGATACACACTTGTCGATCTATAAAACAACATTGAACTTAAACTTCAACTTGTTATATACCAGTTATTTCATGTACTTTTAAAGTTGAGCGACCGGCCACACGGTGAAGGTTACCTATAAAAAATGTACGCCATCGTTCATATGTATTACATAGGCTCCATACATCTTACAAATATTATGTATGTACCTACGCTCAATGACTCTTACGAAACGGTTCAAATAAAAAAAAAACTGAATGAAATGTGTACGCCAATCATGCTGAGTCTGTTCATTTTTTATCCGACTGCCTAAAGGGTTATTGTACTTACGTCTATTTAAGAAGATTCTTTCACTATTTACATTGTAGTTTTTGTTGCATTACATTGTATTTTATCATGTATGTACCTACACAATGACATTCAAATTAACCTTTTAATTCCAAGGGGCTGACTTTTTTTTAAGGGAGGAAAATCATCGAATGCCTGCTCCTGTCTGGGTGAGGCGGAAGGGAGTGTCAGACTCTCACTGACTAAAAACCACCCCGTTCCTTCTCTTGCTCGTCGAGCCGGAGCCCTGGCAACACGTTAGGTTCTCAAGGGGCTGGTGTAGGAATCATTTTTGTGAGTCCCACACACAATCGTCCATAATACATTCCCTAATTTTAATTAAGCCTAAGTACTTACCCCTTTCTCAGTAGTGATTCTTGGGATCGCTCGGCACGAGGCTGTGAGAATTTGTGCCAGTCATAATATTAATTACGATTATATGTAAATAACAATACCATTTAAGTAGGCACAGTAAAGTATTTGGCTTTGCATTTAAAAATAAACTGTGGGTCGATACAAACATTATGTTACAACATAAATATACAATACAAACTTTCTAATCTTGACCATCGGTTTTCGGGTATTTCCCAGTCCTTTTAAAAAGTGTCTAAAAATTCACCTCAAATACAAGGAAACCCAAATCTTACTTGAAGATAAGCTTTCATTTGCGTCACGAGTTTATTCTACATACGTCGACATTCGTGTGACCTACAAAGTAATAAACAAAACAACCAAGTGTGAATTGTTCGCGAACGGTTCCATACAAATATGATGGGAAATAACATCAAGTTTATTGAATGAAAACTCCTTATTATTTATGCTACCTTATTATCATGGTTCATTAGATACAACCTGAAAACAAAAAATCAGATATATTTTTATTTTTGAGGGAATTAAATTATTAAGTTGCTCTTTTCGCCCTAGTTGAAGCGAGAGGGAGTGACAAACTTACGTGGGGGGAGGGTAATTAGGCCTCTTAGGTAATCTCGATCACGCGACCAAACACAACACAAGCGTTATTTTACGTCGGTCTTCTGTAAGGCCGTGGTAGGTCTGCGGTCGAGCCGGCCCATTCGTGCCGAAGCATGGCGGCATAGCAAGAGAAATCTATATTAAGCGTGGGAACACTTAATATAGATTTCTCTTTTAAATGGATCCCTAAAACCTGCATACAAACTTTTATTTAGACATCTGTCTTTTTCCTGCTGTAACCGACATAATTTACTAAGACTACCTTTTGTTTGTGTATTTGTTTACAAAACCACGAAACTATTACATACTACGTTTTATTAAATTTAAATATGTTTATTTAATACGTTTTATTAAATTTACTTAAATTTAAATATAAAAATAAATATAAATATAAATTGTAAGCCATTTTAATGACCCTTTAATACGGCAAGAATATTATATTTATGATTAATTCTAAAGTATTTTCAGTTAATATCTTAGTATTAATATCTTCAATCTATCTAACTTATTCATGCACTTTTGATAATTTTATTTTATTCCAAAAATATGATAACTTTCCATGCACTATGAAATCGAATAATAGAAAATACTTTGCCAAGCTACCTTCTTAAAATCATCCGTATTTATGTGCCAATCACGATTTCCACACGAGATTGATAAAATGACTGTGTCTCTAACACAGTTTTAAATGTCTCATGCATAAAAAATATACTATACGACAGTAACAACTAATGTTCTGGTTTTTCCACTACAACCGCAAATTCGAAACAGCAACGATTTTTTTTTTAAATTACGGAACGCCCATTGGTCCACTATTTGTGACATTTACGCGAAGTGTTATTAATAAATCAAAATTAATTTTTATTAAAAAAATATTATTATTTGAAATTCGAAGGCCATGCAAGATGGTTACTTGATTTACTTGTTTCTAGTTTAAAACGTGTTCTTTATTGTTTTATTTTATATCGATCGAGGGGTACGTACTATAGTAATAAAATAAGTGTTATGTTGTACAAATGTATATGATGAAACGATAGATGGCGTTGTGTGTCTCTTCCTAGATTATTTCATACGTTTGGTCATAACGTAGACAATACACAAGGAAACAAATACGGTCTACACAAAAAATGTAAGGTAATTGAAAAGAAGAAATACCTGATAATATAAAGGATGCAATCCAGTTTTCTAACTGGATTGCATCCTTTATACCTGTTATAAGATTCGAACGCTCGGTTTTGTGCATATATGTCAATCATGTATATAGCATAGATACCGTACGCATACTTGTCTCGTCACGAGTTTACGTTAACGTATGGTAGATAACCATACAAAATACACCTCGCCATCATCCTGATAATCATAGCTCATTCTTTTCGACTGCTAAACATAGGCCTCCTCATTTTTTTATGACATAGGGCGGCAAACAAGCTGCTTTTTAGCTTTAGCTTCAGTTGACAGTAAACAATCGGCGATCTAAGGTGGTTCAGCCGGTTTTCTGAATAGCCGTAGTATCACTCTGGCCAAGTCTGAAAAAAGGTATGGTGGTCCCACGTCATCCCAGATCGTCATGCAATTTATTTGTACAACAAAAGAATTAGCCTGTGTTCAGAAGCGCGCGGTTTGATAACACGCTTCCAGCCAATGACTTCTCCCGCCTTGGGTGAGGCGAGAGGGAATGTCAGGCTCTTACATAAAAAATCATCCCGTTCGTACTCCTGCTTTGATTCGAAGCCCCGGTAAACCATTAGGTTGTCCGCAGCTCCGGACCGGGCATCAGCCCTGCTGGGTCCCATTTGTGGTCTGATGACTTGCAATAAGCCTAATGGCATCGCATATTTAATAATATGTATGTAGTATCAAAATGCGTACTCAACGCTTACCATGTAAACATGGCCTTAACAGCAATAACTATGTATGTGGTTAAAATCATAGTTGCAATCAATATTATAGATGATAGATTAATCATGATGGACCGATAAATGAGGTATTAAATAACGTAATGCTTTTATGATTATCTGCGGAAAACTGTAATAAAAATAATTATTTACATATTTTATTATTAACAACACTTATTTATATACTACTGCTACAGCTGTTCCCCGCGACTTCGCCTGCGTATAATAATGACTACTGGCAAATTTTGGATTTTTTAATTAGTCTTCTCCATGGTAATTGCAATGCTGTGTAATAAATGTCATCAAATTCAATTCAGTTAAATTTATTGTGAAACGTTGTTTATTTCCCGATTCCCGTTGTGGATTTTACCCGTGTAGATCGGGCACCAATTCTTTTTTATCTTTTGTAAACCTGCAGTCAAAACTTTAAAAGAGCGCGAACAAAACGTGGGCAAAAGCTAGTCCATGAATAAAATGTATTCAGTTAATTGAATTCGTATTTCTCTTTAATTAAAATCTCTGATTCTGATGCAGCTAAACACTATTATTAGTCCTTGAAAACAGTTTTCTATTGGTACTCAAAAGCTTAAGCAATATAAGGAGTTTTTTGATAGTATTTTCACACATTGAGTTACATTATAGAAATTTTCACATGGTTCCCTTTTACTTCACATATTAAATATAGCCTATGTTCATCACGGATAATGTAAGATTCCAACGATAAAAGAATTTTTCAAATCGGTAAGGTAGTTTCCGAGCCTATTCAATTCAAACAAACAAACACAAATCAGATCTTCCCTCTTTAAACTAGTATTATAGATATCGATATATGTATATACTACCAAATACTACCTTTTTAATAGATTTGTGCGAGAACTATTAATTAATAAGAAAACAACCCTCATTCTGGTATTAAGCTTTTCACAGTACATAACTAGAATAACAGATAATATGTCCATCAAATCACTCACTATTTATGTCAGTTTCCATCAGTCGTTGAACCAAAGTATTAAGTTTAAAATAGAACCCGTACTTAGTAACTCTCACGTAAACAAACTAATAAGGTAAACATCTAATCATATATGTGGGTTTTCCCAAAGGGCCAGCATGTTTGCAATACAAGTTTTCCTTAACTTGCAATGCATTTTCAAAATTGTTCTTCTACAAGATACTTAAGCGCCTTTTCACACGTTCCGGTTGCCGGGTAGCCTGCGCCAAGTAGTCTGCGTCGGGTAGTCTGCGTCGGGTAGTCTGCGTCGGGTAGTCTGCGTCGGGTAGTCTGCGTCGGGTAGTCAGCGTCGGGTAGCCGGCGTCAGGTACCCGGCGGGCGGCGTAGTGTATGTCCATGTACTGTAACTTTCACACATACCAGCGTAGTTTGTATACATAAACTTTTTTTTGAGGGGGGAAATCATCGAATGATATCGCCTGGGTGAGGCGAAAGGGAGTGTCAGACTCTTACTCTTTTACTGTATACATAGACTAAGAATCTGAGTAACCGGTACCGGCTACCCAGCAACCTGAACGTGTGAAGAGGCACTTACTGTACAATTACACGCAAACACTTAAAGCATTTGTTACGATTTTCCCGGTAAATAGTCGAGTTATGAGTACCTAACAATTTGTAAGGTAATACTATAAGTAATTGTATATAACAGTTAACATAAAGCGCAGTATGTGATGCCCCCATTGACCTCATATGTGTATATAAGAGGGTCCTTTTTACTGCCACTTACATAGTTCTACTAGTACTGACACCATGAACACTGTAAGTACATTACTGGTACCATATTCCATACTAGATTTATTTGTGACTGCAACTTTAACCTAATAAATTATTATGTTTTCGGCTTACTCACGTAGTAATTCGACGAGGAACTCGACTAGTTTCAAGCCATGGTAGAGGCTCATATTCATGAGCAGCACTTCGCGACCCGCGACGCGGCGACTGTCGCGCTGCTACTGTAGCAGCGCGACAGTCGCTAGACAGCCTCTAGCATGGCGTGAAACTAGTCGAGTTCCTCGTCGAATTACTACGTGAGTAAGCCAAAAACATAATAATTTATTTAGTATGTCTCACGAAAATTACAATACAAACTTTAACCTAGTGCTTAAAATCTCAGATCAGTCCTCATCTAAAAAAGATTGACGCCCGAGTCAAAAACAATTAGAGGAGTATTTAATTTCAGCATCTTGAGAAGTAACAGTGTTCGGAACTGGCAATAAGCTAACCCTCTTTAACTCGTCGAGTGCCGTCATTATAGACACAATTATAGAACAATAGGTTGCGGTCACCGGGACCGCTTGGTGTTTGACAGTTTAAGTGAAATAATGCAGGGATAGTACAAACATTGGTCTTATTGTTCCCTTAAAAATAGAAAGTGTTTGACAACACTTAATATAAGGGACAAGAACTGCAACAGATCTCTCAATAGCAAATTCCGTTTGTGCCATTAAAGACTAATTCATATCATTGTTAAGACCTGAGGCAGTTTGTCGATGATACTAGGAAGATCATCACAATGAAGTTTCTTGACGTAATCCATTGTTGGTCAAAAAGTCGATAACATCATCATTCTGAAACATTAATCTACTCCAGTCAATACCAAAAAACTAACAAAATTAGTTTAATTTATTGATAGTTTTAAATAATACATAACATTTAAAAATTATTCGCATTTAACATTGCTATAAAAAATAAGCCTTCTACTTTGAAATGCAAAACATTAAATCTTGATTTTTATGTTAATCATTTTGATAACACTGAAAATCTCAGTACCTAAGTCGAGTAAAGAATGGTGCAAAAAATTGTTTAACCACTTTGTTATTCTGAGCATACATTTGCTATTAAAATGCATTAATATAAAAACCTATTACAATGCCTTCCCTATTGGTTAGTTTTACCACTTAGATTAATGATACATTTAGCAACACTTTAGTTGTACTTAGGTAGGTAATAATCATCATCATATCAGCTACATAATACCTACTGCTCTACAAAGGTCACCCCCAGTGGTCCTTTCTTTATTTGACTGCACGGTTGTTGCGGTGGCTGGGCAACCGACTCCGGTGCAATGTGTCGCAGGTTCGATTCCCGCACGGAACGACACTTTTGTGATCCACAAATTGTTGTTTTGGGTCTGGGTGTCATGTGTATGTTAACTTGTATGTTTGTAAACGAACCCACGACACAGAAGAAAAAATACAAAAAATATGTTAGTCATTTGTATAACTCAAGTTCGTGCCGAAGCTTGGAAATTGCTTAAGGCAGATTGGAGCTTTCGAACTTATAATTAGGAATTATAAATCGAGGTTTCCCTCGTCGTATATTTTATGAGTGGTATCTACTTAAGCTAAGAAAGTTCATACAATAGGGTAGTTTCCTAAATTTTATTTTAATGTCCATATGGTACTTTGATTTAAAACTTGAGACACATATTTTTTCTTTTCTCACAAAACGAAATACTTTCGACGATATATTAATTTGAAATATCGTGTGACATCACAGCGTGCCACATTTTGTAGCACGTTATGACGTAACAACCTCCCACTCCTAAACTTAGTACCATTTTATCTAAGTATTGCAACTTAATACAAGAAAATAAAAAAATGAGTGTCTAATATTTTTTCATTATCTAACTGACGGACTAATTAGATTTTTAATTTTGATACTCTGGAAACTACCCAATTCGGAGTTACCTACTTTGTTTCATTAGTTATTTATTTAAGTGACAAATATTTTGTACAGAACTAAGTATCCATCTATAAATATCTTAATAATGTCCCACACTATTAACCACGTGGTTGTCCTTGATATTTTTTCCATTTTTAACTGAACTGGACCGTATTCATACCTGCCCCAAAGGTCGAATTTTTAAAAATATTGGGAGACATGCAATGCCAGAAGTAAATACAATCAACAATCAGTTAAACGTATTAAGTATAATTTTCTAAACCACAAAAAAAATATTTTTTAATAAGTCACTCATTTTTTATGGCATAAAACTGTAAACTAGCAGACGGTTCACCTGATGGTAAGCAATCGGCGCCGCACATGGACACCTGAAACACCAAGGCATTACTAGTGCGTTACCGGCCTTTTGGGAATTGGGTGTTCAGGGGGGGTAATTGACTCCGGTAGGCGGTAACCTCACTCACACGACGAAACACAACGCAGGCGTTGTTTCACGTGGGTTTTTTGTGAGGCCTTGCCAATACTCCGGTCGAGCCGGCCCATTCGTGCCGAAGCATGACTCTCCCTCACTTAAAAATAACATAACATAACATAACATCACGCCTTTTTATTTTCGAAGGGGTAGACAGAGATGCACATACTGTACCTCTACAATGTATGTACCTCTAACACCCACTTTTCACTATTTATGTTATGAGTCCCATGTAATAGGGAGTGAGCCTATTGCCATATACCGGGCACATTTCCAGACTCCGTGCTCACTGCTCCTACTGAGATTTTTAAAAACCCAGTAATTCTTTGCCCGACCTGGGAATCGAACCCGAAACCCCTTGCCCGACAGTCGCACATACGACCACTCGGCCAACGAGGCAGTCTTAGAAACAGTCTTAGAACTTAGAAATATGGTTTTAATAAGTCACTCATGAAATCGAATTACAAGATAAATTGATTCCTATAACGTGTATTATCCAGTACTTTTATTGATTATTTTTAATTGTTCCCTAATTATTTGTAATACTCATGTATCGTTCGATTTAAATTACAGTTTACTTTCTTCGGTCTGCTGGTCTGCGCCATTTTGGCAATGGTGGGCGCTGCACCTGGACAAAATGCGCCTGAACCAATACCGGTTGTAGCAGCTGATGGCATTCCCATAGACGATGTGCTGGAAGGGGCAGAATCAAGAGGCTACGGCTACAATAACGGCGGCCATGGACACCATGACCACCATCACCATCACCACCACGGTCATTATGGACATGGACATGGACATTAGGATCGATCACAAACAACACTGATGCCCAAATCAATATTGATGCTTTAATTTCCTTTTTTTCTCTCTTGCATTTGTGTATTTTTATAATTTGAATTAAACTGATTAGGAACTTTTGCAAAATATGTTTCATTTATCATCATACTATGTGAATCATTTTTTGGATGTGAGGATGTTTGAAATATCCAAACAAAGAAACTATCGGATGGATTTTAACAAAATTTGGTATACAAAGAGGGTATGGGCTAACTTTTTATACCGATTAAAATATTGCTTCGACTGTACGTTTTTTCCGTATTATGATCCATTTTTCAAATAGGTACCTGTGTGATCTAGCCATTTCCGAGATTGGCACTTTGCAACATAACCGATGTCTTTTTATTTATATTGTTAAATACTGGGCAAAAAGTTGAATTGTATAGTACACACGGCCACACATCAATCTATACAAAACCAGTTTATCCTGGTATCGCGTCGCATCATCTTTCCGCACATTTAACGTTCAGTTTATACTGGTTATGTAAAGCTTGATGTGTAGCCCTGTGTACCTACATTCCAGTAATTTATAAATTAAATATTCTTAAAACAACTTCTGCTGGTCACTCGAACATACTAGTATAATTAGAGTGTCATCCATGAGAGTGGTTAATATTACACCGCTGCAATAAAAATAAACACTGACCAACTGCGAGTCGGACTCACGTACGAAAAGTTCCATAGCAGTCATTCCAGCACAATAAACGACAATAAAATATATGTGAACTTTATTTTGTGAGAGACGGAGACCTCTCTTAAATAGTTATTTCATTTTGTAGTACCTATTTGTTGCTATCATCAATCATTATCAACAACAGCCTATAAATGGACACTGCTGACCAAAGGCCCATTAATCACCACGCTTGCTCAATGCGGGTTGACAATTTTAAAATTGTAATTAGAAATTATAGGTCCATGTTTCACGATTTCACATCACGATGTTTTCCTTTACCATTTGTCAGAGGTATCTAAATAATCTTAGAAAGTACATATAACTTGGAAAAACTCACATTGATACTTTCAGTTGATAGGTTTCGAAACCCCACCCTCATGCATGAGAAGCGAGCGTTTTAAACCAACACGGTATAGCTATAGCTATAGATCTTTTCTGTTATAGCGGTACAAAAAATCATCACTCCACTGTCTAGATATTACAGTTCATAAGATATACCCTGGTGACAGACAGATAGATGGATGGACAGTGGAGTCTGGAATCTTAGTAATAGGGTTCACATATTTATACCTTAGGTACGGTACCCTAAAACCGCTACAATAATCAGAATGTCGGTAAACTCATTAGGACCGCATTCGCAAAAGTAGGATTTTCCACTATAAGTTCTTAATGAACCGGAATGCTATGTAAAGGCAATTGAACCGAAGTATTTATGAGAAAATAATATTGTTTGTTGCAATTTTTCTAAATATGTTGGACCTCACACATTTTCCAGAATAAACAAACATGTACTTGTAGCAAATAGATAGATACAATATACAAAAACATTTAGGGAACATTTTGAACACTAAAGTAATAACGAAGTCAGTATATTTATAACAAACGTAATTTGTTGGCCTTAGATGAAGTGCTTTATTATTTTGGGCATATAAAAATATATTTTATACTATGGTCAGTAAAATTAAAAAAAGTACCGGCCGGTATAAATTAAATCAGCAATATAATTTTTCAGAAAAATAAAAGAAAATTGTTTCATCCGAAAACTTTAAAAAACACGGCCAGTTTCTTAATATTGTTAAAAATGTCACGAAGAAGGCCGAATTCAAAATTACGCATAGATAACAAAAATAATATTTTTTCCATAGAGTAATAAAATTAATTAAATAGGTAAAATACATTTCGATCAAAAATTGTGCGCAAAATGTGTGTATAATAATAATAATATGTTTCTTGGAAACGCACACCACAAATCGACATAGAAAAATATACCATAACGTGTTACACGTGTGGAACATATTCCCATAAAATACACAATCAACACATTTTAATTATTTATCGTTAAAACATGTCATTGATGAGCATGTAGTTGCAAAAAAAATATTTATTATTGTTTATTATCTCCACTACAACATACACTTTCACAACTCTGAACTAAAAACTACAAAGAAAAATAGTTTGACAGTTTTTGTAACAATTACTTAAGAATAACTAAATTACTTTATTTATTAGTGCGCATTAATTTGTTACTTCCTTATTGCCAGTAATTAAATCAATTGATAGGCGTAGACACGTATTTATAACGCGTATTAGCACTTCATATAAAATATTAAATGACATAAGGTATTGTACTTACATGATATTGTAGATTTTGTAGGTATTATATTATGTATTGTATTAAATACATACAAAAAAAACATTTTTTTTTTTGTAAACAATAATATTAATTTATTGTGGTACTTCGACATAATCAATACGGTAACTAACCAGTTTGGAAAGCGGTACCGTAAATTAATACCAAAAATATTATTATTATTGGACTTTTTTCCTCAACATTGAAGGCGCTGAGAATATTGACCTTATAGAAACGCAGTACATTTTTTGTTTTTACTGTTGCGGTATGTGTCACCGGTTCCGTATATAAGTTCCTCAGCGATCCTAACACAACACTGTTCAGCTCTAAGCCGTTACAATGAAAGCCGTGAGTGTTTCTTTCTTTATAATATTTTTAATTTTAATAATATTTATTAAATATAGTTCCATAATATTATCATGTTAATCAAATAATACAGTTTTAATTAGCAGTTTAAATTAAAAATCTGAAAAACACAACAATGGTTTTGAAATATAAACGTAATTAACTAAAAAACATTTAAATTTCAGTTTGCATTCTTCGCTCTGTTGGTGTGCGCCATCTTGGCTCTGACGTCGGTGCAGGGTGCGCCAGCGCCTGATCTCGAGACCGCAGAAAGCCATCACGGTTATGGCCATAAATCACATGGACATGGTGGACATGGTGGACATGGAGGCCATGGAGGATACGGCCACGGGTACGGCCATGGATACGGCCACGGAGGACACCATCATCACGGATAAATCAGACCAAATCAATAACATGACTGACATTAATTTAAAGTAAGGATTAATTTAAGACTAGTTTAATAGTTAAAATAAACAATTTTAACTGCATTTTTTGTTGTTTTATTACAATCAAATAGCGTGCAGTTTGTTTATTCTAGATTGTTATCAATGCAAAGAATAATAATAATTATTATTATCATGTCTTTAATCAAAGCTGCAGGTTTTGATACTCACAGTGAAATCCAGCACAAAATGATTTTAGTCTTTCACAAGGTGGTGTGACAATAAGAAATATAAATTTTATAGTTCTTTACGAAGTAGCACTATACGTATTACATTATTCTCACATATTAAATATTGACGAAAACAATACAGTAATGGATTGTTTTTTAAACAGTGACGAAGGAATCGATTTACTTTTGTTTTCATACCACTACACAGAAACACAGACGAACGATTCTGTTTGAGTTGTCTGTGACTTTGTATCATCATATTGATATGTTGACTACAAGACGCCCACTGCTGAACGTAGGCCTCTCCCAATGACTACTAGATAGGGCGGTGACCTGCATCCAATGGCTCCCTGCGGCTTTAATTAGGTCGTATATCCACTTTGTAGGTAAACGACCTGAAGTGTGCTTGCCTCTACATGGCCTCTATTCGAGTCTAGTTCGTTTCGACTTTGTACAAATTGCTTTTTTGTAAGTTTGACATAGTCCATTGATGCTAAATACGTATCTCTTTATTGTGTTGTGTTGTGTTGGTAGCACTGCCATAGTGATTACTTAGTGTTACTGTAATGGTTACGACGCATCAAAAAGCGTAAAGGCTGATTACTTTCTCTGCATCAGCCAAGGGTCAGACTGGTAGAAAATGCCTGCGACATTAAGTCCACCCATGTACTTGTTTGTGTGCATAAAGCTTTTTAAATAAATAAAGGCTGGATTGCAGCTAAACCCGGAGAACAATAAATCTTCAATGTTGTCTATGAGAACATAATACTTACGAGGCACTACCGCATAGCGCATGCGTAGCGTTACCGTAGTACTAACGTTGCATTGTCGTAGCACGTGCGTAGCATTAGCGTAGCGCAGTTGTTGTGCGTGCGTAGAGCATAACTATAGTACTTACGTGGCGCAGGAGTAGTTGGTGCATAGCACAGTAATATGTTAACGTTGCGTTGTCGTAGTTGTGTAATCTTACTGAAGCACTTACGTAGCATATTAGTAGTATTCACGTAGCGTTGCCGTAGTACTTAAGTACCGTTGGTATAGAGCTTAAGTTGCATCACTGCAACCATTGCATTGCGTCATAGCCAAAAACATTCTTCATTGAATAAAACTCATATTCCCAGAAGTTTAACCTTATTCCTGAAAACAAAAAATAATATTTTTTATAAAAAAAAAGTTGCCCCACACTAGGATTTTCTCCTGTGTCGTGGGTGCGTTTACAATCATACAAGTTCACATACACATGACACCCATAACCGAAACGACAATCTGTGGGTCACACAAAGTGTGGTTCCGTGCGGGAATCGAACCCGCGACACGGTGCGCGGCAGCCAGTTGCCCAGCCACTGCGCCAATCGTGCAGTCAAATTCTATATATATTTGTATATATATACCTATATATAAATAAAAAAGATAAATCAACAATTTTTTAAGAGGAAAATCATCGAATGACTTCTCCCGCCTGAATGAGGCGGAAAGGAGTGTCAGACTCTTACTGACTAAAACCACCCCGTTCCTACTCCTGCACTTCGAGCCGGAGCCCCGGTAACCCGTTAAGTTCTCCGCGGCTTTGTATCGGCATCAACCCTATTGGGCCCCATCCGTGGTCTGATGGCTCTTTAAGGCGCACGCCGAACACGACGCGCCGTACGAGCATAGGGTCTGGTTGTGGTCCGACGGCGAGCCGCCCCAGACCTGCGCTTACGGTGGCCGGAGATCGTCACGCGATCCCCGACGCCCAGAGCCTCCTTTGCGACGGCTGGGTTGTGAGGAGGCACCGCTTCGCTGCCTTATGCGCCCCGCCTCCTCCTTAGCTAGCATGACTGACTGAATACTAATTATTTAATTAATATAAGAGAGCAGATAATGTGACTTGGTAATTTTGCTATTCGCGATATATTCCTTCGTTCTAAAAATTAGCAGGATGACAAATTCTTGGCGGTTTCAAAGTATTTAACGTTACTTTTGTGTACTTGTGTCTTATTATGTTGTAGTTGCGGTTTTCTAGTCATTAACACCTATTTTCTGACGCCATTCAACATTTCAATTATCACCTGAGCAAAGTGATTGTAAAAGTACGAAGTATACTTCCCAAGACATGCATTTAGTAATTGTTATTTATATTTATATATACGCCGCGGAGAACTTAACGGGTTACCGGGGCTCCGGCTCGAAGTGCAGCAGTAGGAACGGGGTGGTTTTTAGTCAGTAAGAGTTTGACACTCCCTCCCGTCTCACCAGGGTGGGAGATGTCATCCGATGATCCCCCCCCCCCTATACATGTTAAGATTCTATCATCATCATCAGCACCAGACACAAGATGTTCGCTAATGAATTCATCAGTGACTTCCAGACAGGCAGGTTAAAAAGGGACCTGCATCCACCACGAAAAAAAAAAATGTACCAGTTTGTTTGTTTAAAATTGTACCAGTACAATTTCAAACGCCGTCCGTGTGGAATCATGTAACCAAGTTCGATAAAAATGACACCCACTGCCTTCCTTTTTGAAGAATGAATCACTTTTACTAAGGCTAAATTAGCCATGGTCAGTATTAAGTCCAAGACGTAGTAAATGTTACATTTTAAAAAAAAAGTCAATGTTACATGACACACTGACCTCTATTTGTAACCTTTTTGGGTGGTACTATAAATCGCCTCTTGGTCAGCAACTAATTCCATATCCTTATTGAAAATGAATAACAATATTCTTTTTCATACCTAAATATTTTCCCTACCTCACGAGAACGATGAAGAAACTTAAAACTACCAAAACTTCTAACAACCTACAACCTTAGTTGTAAATATTTTAGTTGTAATTTTTATTTTAGTACATAATAGATCAATTGTTTTAGAATTTAATTGTTTTCCAATTGTACTAAGTGTTAATAAAGTGATGACTCATACTTTTCTTCTATCTAAATTTATCTATTTCTTCTATCTATTTCTTTCTATAATCATCAGAGATAATAATAGAAAAATGGTAAATCGCCCAGTGACTCCCCCCGCCTTGGATAATACAAGGAGTGTCAGACTCTTACTGACTAAAAACTACCCTGTCGCCTACTCCTGCTTCAAGCTCGGTAACCCACAACATCGACTGCAACTCCGGTCTACTTTGCTGGGGTTCAGAAATTTATATATTAGGTATATTTAAACTGCCTCGTTGGCCGAGTGGTCGCAAGTGCGACTGCCGGGCAAGGGGTCTCTGGTTCGATTCCCGGGTCGGGCAAAGTAACACTGGATTTAAAAAAAAATCTCAGTAGTAGCACGGAGTCTGGAAATGTGCCCGGTATATGGCAATAGGCCCTATTACATGGGACTCATAACATAAATAGTGTTATACAGTTTGGCGATTTTTGATGTATAAGTAAATGTATAACTTTTGTGAATAAATACGTTAAAAAAAAAAGTGGGTGTTACTTGTGTGCACCCCTGCCTACCCCTTCGGGGATAAAAAGGCGTGATGTTATGTTATGTATATTGAAATTAATGTTCTATCCTTTAAATATGTATTTATCTCGTCCGTCAAACGTAGTCAATGACGTGTTGACCGTTATGATCAACGACCAAGCCCAAGTTTTTGTTGCCGCAATTAAAATATACATCGCTATCAAAATACCGTTAGAATTACTATCTAAGTTTATATAATACTAGCTTCTGCCCGCGACTTCGTACGCGTAATCCCATTTTTTCCCGCCCCCGTTCGTGATTTTCGGTAAAAAGTAAAAAAAAAGTATTGGTTTAAAAGTATCCTATGTCGGTCTCCTGGCTCTAAGCTACCTCCCTACCAATTTTCAGCCAAATCTATTTTGCCGTTCTTGAGTTATAAGTGGTGTAACTAACACAACTTTCTTTTATATATAAAGAAGATCAAAATGCTGATAGGTATATCTTCATTATGTTAAATCATTAATATTTTTTAATAAACTACGGTTAACAAACCTTATTCTTTTTCGAAGTCGGTTGATCGTAAATTCAGTTTAATTACTAAAACCTGATTTTATGTGTAACACAGGAAGACATTCCAATAGGAATAGGTGCTACCTTTGTACTTTAATTTAATATAATTATGTGTTGTCCTTTACCTTCTATGTGTATACATATATAAATAAATAAAACTATTTTCTGTAATCTCCATTAAAATCAGTTCAAGTTCAACCATACGAAAGATAATCTTAGACAAAAATAAGTACCTACATACCTAAGCAGATACACACGGGTCCAACTGAGAACATTCTTTTTTGAATTCGGTTAAAAAAAAAGCAACATACCGCCCGAAAGTATAACCTCCTCCTTTTTTGAAGTCGGTTAAAAATGAAGTTAAGCAGAAGAATTTGTCGCGGAGAACCTAACGGGTTACCGGGGCTCCGGCTCGACGTGCAGGAGAAGGAACGGGGTGCTTGTTAGTCAGTAAGAGTCTGACACTCCCTCCCGCCTCACCCAGGCGGAAGAAGTCATCTGATGATTTTCCCCGCTTAAAAAAAAGCAGAAGAATATTCTCATATAGAGTTTGCTCAAACCTTCTCCGTGTGAGAAGACGGCTTTGGTCAGCAATGGCAACTTATAGGCTGTTGAACTTGATAATAGTATAAAGTAAGGCAATTTGATGTTAATAAAAACGGTTTTAGGATATTTTTTTTTTTGGGAATCAAACGGTGTGTATTATGTTATTAGGTACTTATTACTGAGTTACCAGAATTTGTATCAGTTTGCGTAACATAATGAATTTATTTTACCAAAATTCAAAATGATTATGTTAATTTCATTTCTCGGAACCATTCGGGGAATGACATCAGGTGTCTTTACCATAACTTTAAGCTTTATAACAAAACTAGCTTCTGCCCGCGACTTCGTACGCGCAATCCCGATATTTCCCGCTCCCGTTCTTGATTTTCGGTAAAAAGTAAAAAAAAGAATTGGGTAAAAAGTATCCTATGTCCGTCTCCTGGTTCTAAGCTACCTCCCCACCAATTTTCATCCAAATCTATTCTGCCATTCTTGAGTTATAAGTGGTGTAACTAACACGACTTTCTTTTATATATATAGATTACTAGCTTCTGCCCGCGACTTCGTACGCGTAATCCCATTTTTTCCCGTCCCCGATCGTGATTTTCGGTAAAAATTAAAAAAAAATATGGTCAAAAAGTATCCTATGTCGGTCTCCTGGCTCTAAGCTACCTCCCTACCAATTTTCAGCCAAATCTATTCTGCTGTTCTTGAGTTATAAGTGGTGTAACTAACACGACTTTCTTTTATATATAGATTATTTCTAAACATAAATATTTCTAATAATTAAAATAAAATTTATCGCGCGGTATTTCCACACAATTCGTAATCCGACCACCAGGTATTATTAAAGTATTAAAATTATAAGCTGTACTTTTTTCTGTAAATATTTAAATCGAAACAAATTAAATTTTTGTAAAATATTATATCAGTCGCTGAACTGTATCAAAACACTGCTTTGCTACTTGACTGCAGTTGTTATTCAAGTAGAAATCTCGTCAACTGTTTTTAATGTGCCGTAATGCGCACCTCTGCCTACCCCTTTTGGGATAAAAAGGCCTGCCTACAAACTGTCAACTATAAAAGGTCCAATCGTACTGGCCACCTCAGCCAGTCGCATAGTGGATCATAGATATAGAAAAAAAATTAGTTGATAGCTTACCAGCCGTTGAGTCTTTCAGCCAGGACGAAATCCTACTGTAAAATAAACGTTAATATTTTATTCACATTTTAGAACTTTTATGTAAAAATAATGCAAATGCTAGCGGAAGCACAACTATTGTTCTTTACATGGAACTCCCAAAAAAGATTAGTCATTCAATCCAATGTCGTCTTTTGTGTTAGTTCCCAAGGCTATTGTCGTATTTTTTCTTAACAATACATTATTAAATTGAGTCCTGTTACTTTATTTGCATACCAACGGGATAAGGAAGTAAGGCTTTATATTGTATTATACAAATTCCTGTTAAGATTTTATATAAGAACACAAAATTGATTTGGTAAAGATCAATTAGATGCATGTAGCATCCAATTGGCCTATTTGGAAATTATTGTGGGAGGCAGTGGACGTCTAGTGACCAAATTATTATAATTATTGTGATGTAAATAATTATAAATAAAGAGTAACTAACACAAAATGTCCACTATAGAGGGCGTAGTACGAGTTTGTTTTACGTTTAAAGTAATCGAAACGAGACCGATTCCGGCGCTCTGATTGGCTGGCGCCAATAAACCAAGTGTGGGAGAGCCATGCTTTGGCACGAATGGGCCGGCTCGACCGGAGTGATACCACGGCCTCACAGATAACCGACGTGAAGCAACGCTTGCGTTGTGTTTTGTCGTGTGAGTGAGGTTACCGGAGGCCCAATTACCTTTCCCAATCTCCCCAATCCCTGAATCCCCAACGATCCTCAAACTCCTAATCGCCTAATAGCCGGTGACGCACTTGTAACACCTCTAGTGTTCCAGGTGTCCATGAGCGACGCCGATTGCTTACCATCAGGTGATCCGTCTGCTCGTTTACCGGCTTATGCCATAAAAAAAACCAACCAATCAGAGCGCCAGATGCAGTCTCGTTTTGACTACTTTAACTTCGAACCTTTTTTAACTTTCGGACCTTCTCCAGTGACTTTTATATCGGCTCATTGTTAGCGACCGATATCTACACTTCTCTTTACGGTCCTTATCGGCTCATCTATCACCCTTATATGTAGATTTATAAGGTCGATATTTCAAGTCACACTTTTACTCTATATGAGTAAAAGAGAAAACTCAATATTATGTAGGTTCGGTTAGGGCCGGTAATTCC